CATGGCTCAGCGGTTGAGCGTCGACCTAGGATCCAGGCGATTGGGGTTCGATTCCAGGTCAGGGCACATGCCCGGGTTGCGGGCTCGATCAATGACTCTCTCATCATTGATGTTTCTGTCTCTCTCTCTCCCTCTCCTTTCCTCTCTCTGAAATCAATAAAGATATATTTAAAAAAAAAAAAAAGAAGTGCTAAAGAGTCCTTCAGGTAGAAATAAAGGAACAGTAGACAGTTACTTGAAGTCAAATGAAGAGATAAAGAATTCTGGTAAAGGTAATTATATACGTACATAAAAAGGCCAGCTGTATTCCCCCCTCCCCGCCCCCAATATGATTTAAAAGACAAATGCAGTAAACAGGAAGTACAAACCTATCTTGATGGGCACACAGTATATAAATATGTAATTCATGACAATACAAAGGGGAAAGGAGAGACTGCATAGGAGTAGAGTTTTTGTATGTTACTAAAGTTACGGCAGTAAGAATTCAAAATAGGTTGATATAAACTGAAGGTTAAACTGTAAGAGGTTAAACTGTAATCCCCAAGATAACCTTTAAGACTGAACATATACAGAAAAGGAAAATAGAAAAAAATAAAATGATACACAGCAAAAAAAGTAATTAAACACACAAAAAAGGAATAATAAAAAAGGTTGAGGAACAAAAAGATATGACATACAGAAAACAAATAGCACAGTGGCCAAAGTAACTTCTTTCTTATCAGTAATTACATTACATCCAGATGCAATAAACTCTCCAACTAAAGCCAGAGAAGGGCAGGAGGGATAAAAGATGATCCTGCAGGCTACCTACAAGAGACTCCCTTTAACTTCAAAGGCACAAAAAGACTGAAAGTGAAAGAACGAAAAAATACTATGCTTCATTCAAATAGAAATCGAAAGATAGGTGGGATAGCTATTCTAATATAAAAAAAAATAGACTAAGTCAAAAATTGATACATGGGGCAGAGGAGGACAATACACACTGATAAAAGGATCAATCCATCAAGAATGTATGTACAGGCACCTAACAAAGCCCCAAAATACATGAAGCAAAAACTGACATAACTGAAGGAAGAAATAGACAGTTAAACATTAGGTGAAGAGTTCTATACCTTCCTTTCATTAATGGGCAAAACAATTAGAAGATCAGTAAGAAAATAAGAACGTGAACAACACTATGAACCAACTAGACATAACTGACATATGTAAAATAATCTCTCCAAAACAGCAGAATACATATTTTTCTCAAGTGCATATGGAACATTCTTCAGGATAGACCATATGTTAGGTCACAGGACAAACCTCAATAAATTAAAAAAAAAAAAGAAATCATACAAAGTATCTTCTCTAACCACAATGGAATGAAGCTAGAAATCAAGAAGAAGGACATCATGAGAAAAAAACCTACACAGCAATATCACTTATGAACACAGGTGTAAAAATTCTCAGCAAAATACTAGCAAAATAATCTCAACAGCATATTAAAAGGATTATACATTATGACCAAGTAGGATTTGATCCCAGGAATGCAAGGGTTGTTCAATATGCAAAAATGAATCAATTTAATATACTACATTAACTGAATCAAGGAAAACCAAACACGATCGCCTCAACTGATGCAGAAATGCATTTAACAAAACCCAACATTTTTTCATATTAAAAACACTTAAACTAGGAGTAGAAGGTATATGGTAAAAAATTAATCTTAATGTAAAGAGAGGCCTGGCTTTTGCCTCAGTTATAGGTGACCTCTAGGCCCCTGGAATGTCCTGATAGCAGTGTCTCTGTTTGCCTGGGGTTTTGGCCACAGGACAGTCTAACAATGTGAGAGACTAAAGGCATTAATGTAAACCTTAGGAAAGCGTTGGAGACTAAAGGTCAGCCAACAGGAAGGCAGTGTGTGATTGAGTAACAAGAAAAATTCTGGATACCAAAAGCTTGGGTGGGCTTTCCTGGCGGACAATACTCTGTACTTCTAAACTTTATGAGGAGAGAATGACTGACTGAAATCTCCACATCTGGACCTCAGATTCTGCCCAAGGCATCACCTCCTTTGGTTGGTTCTAATTTGTATTCTTTTGCTATAACAACAGAGTAATCAAAAGTATAGTGCTTTCTGGAGCTCTGTGAGTCATTCTCATGAATTATTCAAACTGAGAGTAGTTTTGGGGACCCCAAATTTGCAGCCAGCTGATCTTAAGTGGGAGTAGTCCTGGGAACCTAGTGGTTGGGTCTATACCCTCTGACTGTACAATGTGACTAACTCCAATGAAAAATGGAACTTCTTCAAATAGATAAAGGGTATTTATGAAGACCTCTCAGCTAATATCATACTTAATGGTGAAAGACTGGAAGCCTTTCTCCCAAGATCAAAAACAGGACAGAGATTCCCATTTCGGCCACTTCTACTCCATACTGTACTAAAGTTTTAGCCAGAGCAACTAAGCAAAACAAAAACAAAAGCAACACAAAACAACAAAAACAAACTGGAAAGAAACAAGTCCAATTGTGTAAATGAGATCATCTTAAAAAGAGAAAATTGTAAAAAAAAAAATTCCCTAACCATATTAGAACAAATTAAACGAAGTTGCATGATATAACATCAATACACAAAGATCAGTTGTGTTTCTATACACTAGCAAAGAACAAACTAAAAGGAAACTTAAGAAAATAATTTCATTTATAATAGCTTCCAAAAGAATGAACTACCTAGGAAAAAATTTAACCAATGAGGTGAAAGGCTTGCACACTGAAAACTACAAAACACTGCTGAAAGAAATTTAAGATCTATGTTACAGACTGCACCGTGTGTCTCCCCAACCCCAAATTCACACACTGAAGCCCTAACCCCTCATGTGGCTACATTTCAATATAGGGCCCTTATGGAGGTAATTAAAGTTAAATGAGGTCACAAGAGTGGGGCCCTAATCCAAATTAACTGGTGTCTTTGTAAAAGATACTAGAGCTTGCACACGTGTCCCCCAACCCCCCTCTATGGCACAAGCCAGTTAGAGGTCTCACCAAAAACTGCTGGTCATGGACTTCAAGCCTCCAAAACTGTGAGAAAACAAATATCTGTTGTTTGAGCCATCCAGTCTCTAGAATTTTGTTATGGAGCCCAAGCAGACTAACATAATCTAAGTAAATGGAAAGACGCCATGTTCATGATGAATACTAAATATAGTAAAGATGGCAAAACTACTCAATCTACAGATTCAATGAAATCCTTACTAAAATTCCAACAGCCTTTTCTGCAGAAATGGAAAAGCTGATACTCAAATTCATATAAAATCACAAGGGGCCCTCCTGAATAGTCAAAATGATGTTGGAAAAAAAAGGAATACAGTTAAAGGACTCATACTAGCCCATTTTAAAACTTACTAAAAAGTTACAGTGATCAAAATAATGTGGTACTGGTATAAGGACAGACACACAGATCAATAGAATAGCACTAAGAATCCAGATAAAACAATATGAGGTCAATTTTCAACAAAAAGGTTGCCCAGCTAGGCATGTCTCAACAGTTGAGCATCGGCCTAGGATCCAGGAGACTGCGGTTCGACTCCCAGTCAGGGCACACGCCTGGGTTGCAGGCTCGATCCCCAGTGGGGGGCGTGCAGGAGGCAGCCGATCAATGACTCTCATCATTGATGTTTTTCTCTCTCTCTCTCTCTCTCCTTCTCCCTTCCTCTCTCTGAAATCAATAAAGTTATAAAAAACAAAAACAAAAAAGAACAACAAGGGGGCTGAGACCATTAAATTGGGAAACAATAGTCTCTTTAATCAAGTGCTGGAACAACTGGATGTTCACAAGCAAAAGAATGAAGCTGGACCCTTACATTCACACCATATAGAAAAATTAACTCAAAATGGGCCAAAGGAGTAAACAGAAGAGCTAAGACCATACAAATCTGAGAAGAAAACGTAAGTGTAAATCTTGATGACTTTGCATTTGACAATGAATTCTTATATGTGACACCAAAAGAACAAGAACCAAAGACAAAACAGATAAACTGAATTTCATGAAAAGTAAAAACATTTGTGCAAAGGGTATCAAGAAAGGGAAAAGACAAGATATAAAACAGGAGAAAATATTTACAAATCATGTATCTGATAAGGGTCCAATATGTGAAATATATAAAGAGCTCCTACAACTCAACTAATTAAAAAATGGGCCAAGGGCCTGAAGAGGATTTCTCCCAAAAAGATAGGCACATGGACAGCAGGCACATGAAAAGATGCTCAACGTCATTAAGGAAACACAAATCAAAACCACAATGAGATACCATTTCATGTGCACTAGGATGGTTAGAACAAAAAGGTCAGTAAGCACTGGCAAAGATTTAGAGAAACTGGATTCCTGGTCATAAATTACTGGCAATGTAAAATGGTGCAGTCACTGTGGAAAAAGTTTGGTGGTTCCTCAGAAAGTTAAACACAGAATTACCATATGACCCAGCAATTCTACTCCTAGGTAGATGCCTCAAAGAATTGAAAGCAGGAACTTAAATACTTGTACATGAATGTTCATAGCAGTATTATCCACAAAGCTAGAATTTAGAATTAACCCAAATGTCCATCAATGAATGAACAAACAAAATGTGGTAATTAGATAAAATATTAGTCATGAAAAAGAATGAACTACCAAGACATGCTACAACATGGATGAACTGAAAACATTATGCTAAGTTAAAGAAGCCAGGCACAAAGGTCACATAATTGTATGATTCCAAGTATATAAAATCCAGGAGAGGAAGTCCACAGACACAGAAAGCAGACTGGTACAATGCCTGGGGCTGGGGAGAGAGCGAATGAAGAGCAACAGCTTAATGGGTATGAGGTTTTCTTTTGGAGCAACAGAAACATTTTAAAATTTGATATTGGTCATAATTGCACATTTTGTGAATATACTAAATGTTATTGAATTGTACACATTAAAATGGTTAATCTTATGTTACATGAAATAAAAAGAGATTATGATGATAGTTGTTTCTACTAACCCGATGAATAATTCCAGCAGAGTGAAGGTGCTTGATTCCACACAGCATTTGATAGAGAAGGTAGGACATTCTTTCATGATCTAGTTCCATCTGAATCACTTGGCAAAGATTTGCATCCATGAGCTCCATGACTATGTAACTTCATGGGTGAAAAAAGATGACAGTTAAAGTACACAGCAACAATCTAAGAATAAGGCACTAACGTAAAATTTTAATGATCGCACTTACACATCTTGAAATTCTTCTAGGGATTTCTGTGGTGTAAAAACATTCAAAAGGCCAATTATCTGTGGGAAAAGCAGAGAGATTAAAAAATTAGAAACTTTCATAATACTTTCACTTGGGAGCTGTAAATACATGGGTTAAAAAAATCCACAAATAGTTTTAAAATTTTCAAATCTTATTTTCTAAGTCCAAGTAATCTCTTTCCTTTTGTGTATTAAAACTTTATGGCCAGGGGCTGGGGGTAGGGAGGGAACCAGAGCACAGAGGATCTTCAGGGCAGTGAAAACACTCTGTGTGATACAATAGTAGTGGATACATGTCCTTATACATCTGTCCAAACCCACAGAATGTACACCAAGAGTGACCCCCAATGTAAACTATGGGCTTTGGGTGACATGGATGTGTCAGTGCAGGTTTACTGATTGTAGCAACTGTACTCCTCCGGTGGGGAATGCTGGTAATGCAGGAGGCTGTGTGGGTGAGGGGGCAGGAGCTACGTGGAAAATCTTTGTACCTTCCACTCAATTTTGCTGTGAGCTAAAAACTGCTTAAAAAAACAAGTTCTTTAAAAAATTATAACAGAAGAGCTCCACATAATCCATTCTACTAATGCACACTCAATTATCAAGAACCTATGTTATACAATCCTCTACATCATTTGAAGGCAATCTTAAATCCCTTATGCCTGTTTATATCCAACTCAAAATCTCTATATCATCTCAGCCTTCCCCACAGCTTTTCATAATACTGCACTTCCCAGTTTCACCAGTCCCAGCCTGCTGCATGGGTCTGTCCACAGCATGCCCTCTCTCCCACTATTCTTCAGTCATCCTCTTTTCTCTGTCTGTGCCCTTTCCCCTGGGTGATATATGATCTTTTTCTCCAAACACCTCTATGTGGGTAATTTCCAAATATGAATGAAAAGTCCTTGCTTGGCTTATGAGTCTCAGGTGTATACTGCCACTCCACAAGGCAGTCTCACGAATAGTACAAAATTGAACTAACTATCATTTGTACCCAAACTCCTGGCTTTTCCAGAGTGCCTCCTCTTTTACAACAGAAGGCTCAGCATGACTTTGTTTTACTTTTTCAATATTTACGCTGTAATAAATATTTTAAAGAATGTGATCCACTGTATTGTCAGTCTGAACGTAAACCTCTTCTTTTCATTCCTTGTGCTACTACACAGGTTGAGGATTCTAATATCATAATTCATATAATGACTTCTAACACTAGGTTTCCTAACTTGATACTTAGGCCGTACTAAATTTAAATTTCTAAAAACTCTCAATGCCTTTAAACATACTTTCCCATATGCATGTCATTTACCTACTGAACTTAGTTACCTTCAAGATAGACCTGTTCAGTAGTCTGACAACCCCCAGTTCTTGAGAGGCCTGAATATTCTATTTCGTCCCCATAGTATCTTACATGTTATTATGGCATTTAACACACTGTCATATAGTCTCATTTTCACAACAGCTCTGCCCAACTACACCAGGATCCTTATTAGGAAGAGATGTGTCTTGTTCCCTTCAGAGCCCTGGCACAGAGGAAGATACCTGGCACACATTTTAAAAATGTTTGCTGACAATTATACTTAGAGGTAAGAATGTTCTAGACATAAACTTCATTAGGGCAGAATCTACATTCCTCATCTAAGCATAAAGCTTTGCTTGATGAATGCATTCAAATATTTGTTCAGTAAATAAATTCATAAAATTTTCAGACTAGAAAGGATAAAACATATTTACGATAGGAGAAGTGACAATAAGAAACATTTAGCTGCTCTAAATGAACTCAAGTCTCTCTAACCAGTTCAGCTGCACACTTGGAGACTTGGAGAAATACAAAAACTATTCTTATTAATATCTGGGAAATCCTGGAGTAGAAGAGAGGTGTTAAAGATGAAAGGAATAGAGACAGAAAGGAGACTAGTGGATGCTAGAGCTGAGGCCTGGAGATGGGGAAATGAGAGCTAAAGGATACAGGGTTTCTTTTTGAGGTGATGAGAAAAGACACACAAGTCAGGGAATAAACTAAAAATGGCTGACTTGTTAAGATTAAACGGATGAGTAGCATGCTATATAAACTGTGTCTCAGTAAAGCTTTTACAAAAAAGACTGAAACAGCTGTCTGATTTTTCAAAAAGGAAAATAAAATAAATTATATCAATCATAAACTAGACAAACAAAAGCCAAGGACTGATTAAGTGGGTGGCATATGACTACTGTGAGAGAAGTAACAATTACGAGGAGCAGGAGCAGGTAAATTCCACTAAGAAACTATCTTCTTTTGTGAATAAAAACAATAACAAAGAGCAATAGTAGTAAATCAGAGAAACGCAACCAGATACATTATATGAAGATTTCAAAAAGGATTTTTTGAAAATGTCTCTGATGATAATCTCCATGTAAATAAGATGAAGAACTGGGGAAAGCAGAATAATTTTTATTTAGACATGTAATTTTGACAGTAGACCCAAAGGCTGCTAGTGAACTAACCCAGCTATTATGAAGGCATCCTGAGCAGAACAGGGAAATGAAGCCAATAGGTGAAAAGTTAGAACAAAGAGATCAATCCCCAAAAGTCCAGGAAGAGGAACCAGATTTCATGTGTGAAATTTAATAGGGAGAAAGAGAAAGTACTATACTTATTCTCCAAACCACCCCCCCCCAAAAAAAAGGTAAAGGAAAAAATGGGATATGTGATGTGTTAGCAGGCCTGCAACAAAGAATAACTTGCTTAGACAATGTAAGTCAATGGTGACTGATTTCCACGCGGGAGTATGGTGTTCACAGTGAGGAGAAAGGACATGCTCAGTCCCTCTCAGAGGACGCAACCGACAGGCAGCAATGCGTGCCAGGTGACACAGTAACGTGGTCAAAGGTAAATGGCCAAGTTGAAAAAGAAACTCAGAACCATCTACGAATAGAGTAGGAAATGCACAATCATATGAATGTACTTAATACCACTTAAAAAATGGTTAAGATGCTAGGTTTTATGTTATGTGTATTTTACCACAATAAAGAAAAAAAGTGAGTAGGAAAAGCCAGAGATATTTAGACCAATAAAGAGATGATTTGTGCAGAACATGAAAATGTTGAAAAGGCAAGACATTATAAAAACATCCATCCATCACTGAGTAAAATAATTCCATTACCATTCTTGGTTTCCTTATATTTACTTAAAAAAAAAATCCTCACCTGGGGATGTTTTTATTGATTTAAAAAAAAGGTTTTTTTGAGAGAGAGGAAGGGGGAGAGAGAGAAACATTGATTGGCTGCCTCCAGTATACATCCAGACCAGTGACTGAACCTGCAACCTAGGTATGTGCCCTGGGTGGAAACTGAACCCACAGCCTCAGTGTCCAGATGACACTTCAACTAACTGAGCCACCTGACCAGGGCTCCTTATATTTACTTTTACATTCGTTCACTGAACAGATACGTCTGAGCACCTCCTCTGTGCCAGCACTATTCTAGGTGGCAAGGGTACTGCTTGGACGGAACTGCGCTGCCCTCACTAGAGGGTTAACCACATGCAACAAGCTTCCTATGCCCTTCATTTAGTTGATGGAGCCATCTTTCTGTGCAGTTGCCCAGGGTCAAGAGGTAGGAGTCATTGGCCATCTCTTCAATGAGAAACTAAGGCATGAACACTACCACCATTGTCACGAAATAGGCTACAAAGGGGCACAAGCAGCTCTATCCGAGTGGGGGAGGCCACCAGCAGAAGGCCACAAGCAGCATGCCTGGCTCTCACCGTTTTTGTTTTTCTAACATCTATATGAAAAATAACGAGCGATTTACAGATCTCTTTCCCTAATCAGAACCTCAGGTGTAAATATAAAGGTACTATAAAACATATAAACATTTACCACCAGATGCCCATATTTTGCTCAGCATTCCAAGGCCACATTGCTAAGTCAGCATATAACTAATACAGTGACCAGTTATTTAGGAAGGAAAGAGCCACATCAGACTGACAACATATGACACCCAAGTTACGTCACAGGTAACAATACAAACAGGACTTTTTATCACTAATTGTAGATTACAGGGCAAATCAATCATTTTTGTGATACTAAACTCAGCGTTTACCAAGCCTTCTAATTTTGTTCCATTCAAGTAGTTACGACAGGTGGGCAGGTACAGGGCTGGGTGAAAAGAGGGTTTCAACAGTCTCACTCTGGGAAGCATGTCTCACCTACAGGGGCTGATTCGGTTGTGCCAGTAAAGAGTTTCACAGTAAGATGTGAGAGGGAGGGGCCTGGACGCGATGTTCACAATAACAAGATGAACCCAGGCGACAGAACACTGTGTTCGAATCCTCCATGAAAGGGTTTTATTCTGAGAAGTTCCTTTATTTTAGATGCTACTGAATGCTGCTTCAAGGGACCGAGAAACCTGGCTCTATTTTGTGGAGTTCAAAACTGTCTCCACCTTCCAGCAAATACAGGTATCTTTCATTAGACTTGAAAAAAGGGCTCTGAGACTGTACAAGCTAAGCAGATGTGTGGGCTCCCTTTCTTGTTTTTAAACAAGGAAGTTAACGTAGCTAGGAATTAAAGTTAAGTAAGACTGGCTAGAACAAGACTGCCTGACACAGTTTCCCCATCACTGACTGACTTTAACCTTTATCTCTGGGTCTTTTTTTAAATGCTATTTTCCTCTCTGGGAGGTCCCCTTCCTTCAACAATCCAACTTTTACCCCATTATTTAAGAATTAGTCAGGTCCATCCTTCCCCAAAGCTTTTCCACTTCACCGAGGCTCACAGCAACCTTCCCTCAGAAATCTCAGCACTCACTTATTTTTCATCCACCATAATCTGACAATGCTAATAAACTCTGACATTAGAATTTATTCTGCTTGGTCTTTAACTCTTTATGTATTTGTTTTGTCTTCAAACTAACACTGTAAACCCCCAAATAAGGAGCCTAAATGTTAACTTCCATAACATTTCCCCTTAGTGACTAACCTAGTAACTCCATTGCACAGAGGCTTACACACAGTTAACTCTCAAAATGGGGTGAACTGTTTTGTCTGCAATCAGAAGGTACTGAGTGGATTATATTCTATAAACTCCTGTGAACAAACACCACAAAACATCTCTGGTCAGATACTTTTGGTTTAGTTCTTCATAAAAATGTCCCTTGCACAATTCTATCCCGGTTTATTTCCTCTCAACATGGAGACATCATTCTATTAAAATAATTATAAAACTATCAGTATGCTTAATGTAAGCTTTAAAAAGTATAACTTACTATTCTCAACATGAGTGAAAGTTGTATGTTTAAATACTTATAATCATTGGGAAACAGAATCTGAATGTTTTTCTAATTCCATTGAAATATTTTTTAAAGTTTCTACTAAGCTTCTTTATAATCACTGGCTATCCTCAACGTAAGGTGACCAATGTGTATTGGCATCACCTACAGAGAACACAATGAGGTCAGGAGAAATTATTTGAGTCTATATCCAGTGTTAGTAAATAAAGTTCCAGAGTCGAAGTGTAACAGGAACAATCTCCGTACTCAGGCTCTTTTCTGACATGTCAGCCTGACAGAAAACAAAAAGCAAAAGATAAGATGAAGCATAAAGTTCTTCTAAAATACCTACCTCTTTAAAAGTCCTTTTGCTAACTGAATGTCAGAAAATTACACAATATGAATTTCAGAAGCCATTTTTCTTTTAATATAATTAATAAAGTTGAGAAAAAATTCACAATGTAGATATATAAACCTTTTATTTTACTTTTAAAAATTTATTTTACTTTTATTTATTTTTTATTGATTTTAGAGAGAGGAAGGGAGAAAGAGAGAAACATCGACTGGTTGCCTCTCCTAGCATGTGCCCAGCCAGGTATCAAATCCACAACCTGGGTATGTGCCCTGATCAAGAATCAAACCTGCCACCTTTTGGTGTACAGAACACCACTCCAACCAACTGAGCCACACCAGCCAGGATGATATATAAACCTTTTAAACAATGTTTCAACTCAGAAGAACAATTTCAAGCATCTAATATTTTTAAAGTTTTTGATATTCATGTATTCATGAACAAATCTTTATTTCATCTATACTTAAGAAACTTTCTAAAATGTTCACTTACATTTTTGTGATTAACACATTTCATAAGAACCAGCTCTCTGTAAGCCCGTTTAGCATGGGTTTGATTCTGAAATGGCCGGCTTAGCTTCTTGATTGCAACATTTCTTTCAAGAATGGCATCATAAGCTGCACTGTAATAGAAATTAAAACACAACAGAAAACTTAATCAAAAGTCTGCAAAACTGAATTTACAAAACATTCATTGAGATTTCTCACTTTCTCCAGAAATAAATGCAACTGGATCAGTTCCCAGTCTCTGATGATCAACACGTTTCTTCTATACCTACTGCAGCATATTCTAAACAGTGCATAACACTGTTTCTTAAAATGCTAATGGATTCATGGACTGCGACTGTGAAGACAGAGATTCTGCTTGTTCACTGGGCTTCTCCAAGATCCACCTAAAATACAAATGGGCACTCAACGCACTCATTTTTAATGAGTATTGAAGTCCAAAAGATAGCTTAAAGCCTACATGAACCATTCACCCTGCACCTACACTAAGGAAAGAGAACAAAGAATTCATGCAGTCATAAATTCTACTCAACATATCTGCTGAAGAATTCTAAATAAGTATATCACTTCCATCCTCTTTGGACACAAAATATATACAGAAAGAGGAAGTCCATACAGAGGTATTTATACAAAAGATTATTTTATTATAGAAAAAAAGGAAGCCTTAAAATTTGTTTTAGAGGGGGAATTAAAAATCGGTGTTTATAAAGATGAAGGTTAGATTTCAGGACATCAGAAGCTGCTTCATAATTGTTAATGAAACACCTAAAATTCTGGGAAATATTAACGTCATACTCATTACTTTTCATATCTTTCTCTCCCATGTGACACTGACCAAACGGTACCTCACACATATGACAGGTAAGAGAAACTCAAATACAATAAGGTGAAGTGGTTTAAAATTATAGAATATTATAATTGAAAGAAACTTTAAAACCACTTGGATTCAGAGGTCCCAATACAGACCTAAAGAATCTTACTACCTATGACTGAAGCCCAAAATAATGCCTTTAAAAAATTAAGTTCTTCAGTTGATTCTGATAGTAACACAACAGTGAGTTAAAATTTATTTAATATTTGTTTGTTTTATAGTAACCTTTTATTAAAGAAGCAAAAACTTGAAGGTATTCCTTAGGACAGGGGTTAAGATGGCTTAAATTCCCTTCCAAGGCAATTTTTTCAAAATTCTGGTACACAAATTTCAAAATACACCCACTTAAGGATAAATGAAGGTAGAGAAACATTATTATATTTTCAAACAATATTAAGTAATTTATAAAGAATACATTCTTCATGACTCTATAAATTAGATGAGAAAACAGGCTTAGAAGTATTAATTCGCCGTGAGTGACACAGCTATTAAATCACAGGGCTAGAATCTGAACCAAGGGCTGCCTTTCAGCATACTTCCCATACTGACTTTACCACACTATTTTCTTTATCTTTAATTTGTAGTTGGTTAAATGTGGTTGGTTAAAATGACAACCAGCTAGCCAGAAACGCTTTATAAAACGACCCAATTTTTGTAATTTTTGATATTATATATTACTTCAAGAATACAGAAGAGAATAAATGTTAGTGTTTCTGTTACATAAACTTGTTATGTGATTTTAATATTTTACTATAATTGCTCTGATTTAAAAAAATATATATTATTATTGGTAAAAGCTCCTTTAAAGCCTTCTCTGTGCTCTCAGAGGTAAGCACTATCCTGAGTTGTTTATGAATGTTTTTATACTTTTCTACATACATATGCACCCATAAATATACAGTATTGTTTGACTATTTTATTTTTAAAAATATGTCTTTATTGATTTCAGAGAGAGGGAGCGAGGGAGACAGAGATATAGAAACACAATGATGAGAAAGTCACTGATTGGCTGCCT